CGGGGATTGAACTCAGGCCTTTGCACTTGCCAGGGAAGCGCTTATTCCACTAAGCCATCTCCCTGGCTCCTTGTAAAGGCTTTTAAGAACTTTAAAAATAAAGATGTTGTGAATTTCCACATCCGTAGATGTAAAGGTCTACGTTTCTATAATGTTCTTATACAAAATCTGGAGATTCCGAGATAAATAGGAAGAGGCTGTCATCTGGCGTCTCTCCATCAGATACTCAGCTATACAGATGTTCTAGTAAATCACTCAGGAAGTGTGTCCAGGCCCAGGGAGGTAGCTCAGCAGCATAAGCGCCTGCCTAGCAAGCACAAGATCCTGAGTTCGATTCCTGGTACCAAAAGTATGGGGGCCGGGGAGCTGTGAAGATCGCTCAGCGGTCTAAGTGCCTGCCTGGCAAGTGCAAGGTCCCGGGTTTGATTCCTGCCACCGCATGCTCTGTGCTGGCCCTAAAACCCTGGGTGCGCCTTGCCAGCCACCAAAACCGGGCATGGTGGTGCGTGCCTATAATCCCAGCACTGGGGAGGTTGAGACGGGAGGATCACTACATGTCCAAGCTGCATAGTGAGACCCTGTGCCAAACAAATAAAATATTTTTTAAAGTGTGTATATATTGTGTTGTATTAAACAGCAATTGCCTAGAAATTTGAAATAGTAAAGTTTATTATTCAACAGAACAAAATTATTTTTATGGAAAGCTACTGATTAGTTTTCCATCTGCAAGAACAGAGATTAAAGTCTAGAACTTGTCTAAAGTTTAGATTTCAAGATTAAAGTTCAGAATCCTCCATATTTTTATATTTAAGGGTCGAATGGCTGAAGGTCCCTAATCCCAACCTTAATCCAAGTGGCCTGAAATGCTTGACTTTTAAGGGGAAGTTACATAAAGCTATTAGCCACAAATATTGGTTATTCTGGTTTACACAAGCTTGAGGTTCATGCCAAGAAATAGATATCTCAGTCAGAACATGTATTGCTACTGTGTCAGTTCTCTTAGATTTAATTTCTACTTGATCGATGGCATTGCAAATGTAATCAGGGAGAGGTAAGGAGGGTGAAATACTTGTGAGAGTGGCCTCGGGGACAGAAGGAGGGGAGAAGGTAAGACACAAGACGGAGTGAAAGGAGTTAACCTGTCCCGGAGTGTGAGAGGTGAAGGTGAGACAGCCCACCACGCTTTTGATGGCGAGGATGATAAAGGACAGAAGGAATATGACGGGAAGGGTTGGAAGAGGTTTTGTTTTCTTTTTTTTCTTTTTTTTGCAGTATGCATTTATTTATTTATTTATTAACATTTATTTAGTGAGTGTGTGTGTGTGTGTGTGTGTGTGTGTGTGTGTGGCTGGCTCAGCCCACCAGGGGGCGGGGCTGGCCAGCATGTGGTGCTGGGGGATCAAACCACGCTCCCTGATGTTTTGCTAAGCTTGTTCTAAGTAGGTGCTTTAGACCACTGAGCCATCTCTCCAGCCCCAGAGGTTTTGTTTTCGACATGTTAAGTTTTAGACATGAGAAGGCCGTGTGTTAAATCGGGTGTTCTCAAAAGAGTATATTAGGTCCCTGCAGACGTTCCTTTGTAAGTCTTGGGGCACACAGCTGTGGCCGCCCCTTTTCTAACTGCCAGTCATGACTTCATCTGATATTGTGACTTGAACTTTTAGGAGACATGTAAGGACTCTGGAAGGACTCATTTTTCAAACTGTACATACCACACACAGTCCCTCAACAGTTGTGAATTTTAAAGGGAGAATATAATTTGGGGAGGAAGAGACACACGTGATTCAGATAAATACAAATTCACTCCTCTCAAACCACATGAGAAAATTGTTAGTGTCAGTAGGAAATGCAGTCGTCCATTTGAAGTCGAGATTGTGCTGCAGAGGCAGATTTGTGGTTACCTCTGCAGTACAGGACCTGGTGCAACTGGGCCAGTTTACTGCGCGGGTAAAGAATGGTATGGTTAGGGCCGGCCAGATAGCTCAGTGGATTAAAGTGCCTGCTTAGGCAGACACAGGGTCTAGGATTCGATCCCTGCCTTGCTGTGCTGACCTGCCCCTGGGGTGTGCTGAGATGGTGACTGAGACTGGGCTTAGTGGCCCACACCTGTAATCCCAGTGCTTGGGAGGCTGAAAACAGGGGGATCACTATGAGTCCGATCTGTATAGTGAGACCCTATAGACATGGTACTAAATACATAACAAAACAAGAATGGAGAGAGCTAAGGGAACACCACGGCCTGCAAGGAAGTGTTGGTCACAGTGCTGCAAGTCAGATGAGGATTGTGATGGAAAGGGGAACTGAAGGATCCCTACAGCTGGGTGTGGTCCACAGTGTAGTGTAATCCCAGCATGCAGGAGGCTGAGGCAGGAGGAATGCATGAGTTCAAGCCCAGGCTGAACTACATAGCAAGACCCTGTCTCAGAAAAACAAGAGTGACGAGAAAGGACGAGCACCTGGAAAGAGGTGGCCTACTTGGTGTAGCTCAGCAGTGGTGAAGAGAGAGGAGGCTGGGAGCCGCGGCAGGGGGAGATGAGCTCCCCTGGGGGAGATGAGCACGGTGCGATCTCAGCGAAGGAGGACGAGGTCCTAGGCTGGCGCTGCACACCTCCGGGATCCAGCCCTCGTCTCGCGCCTGCCTCTCGCATTGCCTCTCACTGCCTGCTCTCTCACATTCTCTGCTTAGGCCACCCTACTTCCTGCTCTCAGCCTGCCTGCCACAGGCTCCTCCTCCAGCAGTGCACATACTCACAGTGCTGGGCTCCCCACGACCTCCAAGGAGCTGCCCCACAGCCTGCTGCTAAAACTGGTCCAGAGTCAGTTGCCAGAAATACAGAATTTGGGACCTACTAAGCAGAATCTGCAGTTTAACAAAAACCCTCAGGTGATTCAAGTGGTGCTTTGAAGTTTAAGGATTGTCAGGCCGGAGAGGTAGCTCAGTAGAATAAGCACTTGCCTAGTAGGCACAAGGGCCTGAGTTCAATCCCTGGTTCCGACAAAAAAAAGATAATTAAAGGTTGTCATGATAGCTCAGCGGACTAAGCGCCTGCTTGGGCAAGTGTGGGGACCAGGGTTCAATCTCTGCAACACATACCTCCCTGGCCCTGTCTCCTTCACCCCCTCAGCGTGTTGAGCTGGCCACCAAGACCAGGCCTGGTGGCACGCGCCTGTAATACCAGCACTAGGAGGCTGAAAACAGGAGGATCCAAGCTGTATAGTGAGACCCTATACCAAATACATTAAAAAATAAATAAATAAATCCAAGATGGGAGCCAGCAGGAGACTGATGAAGGAGCTTGAAGAGATCCGCAAATATGGAATAAAAAACTTCCGTAACATCCAGGTTGACGACGCTAATTTATGGACTTGGCAAGGGCTTGTTGTTCCTGACAACCCTCCATATGGTAAGGGGGCCTTTAGAATAGGAATCAACTTCCCAGCAGAGTATCCATTCAAACCACCGAAGATCACATTTAAAACAAAGATCTATCACCCAAACATTGAGGAAAAAGGGCAAGTTTGCCTGCCAGTAATTAGTGCTGAGAACTGGAAGCCAGTGACCAAGATGGGCCAAGTAATCCAGTCCCTCATAGCACTGGTGAACGACCCCCAGCCTGAGTACACCCTCTGGGCTGACCTAGCTGAAGAACACTCTAAGGACTGTAAAAAAAAATTTGTAAGAATTTTGAGGGGCCAGGGAGATGGCTCAGTAGGATAAGCGCTTGACTGGCAAACGCAAGGATCTGAGTTCAATCCCCGGTTCCGCCAAAAAAAAAAAAAGAATTTTGAAGAGTTTACAAAGAAATATGGGGAAAAGTGACCTGTGGACCAAAATCTGCCATAAAGGATTCCAGCAAGTGTGAGCAGAGACCCCGCAAAGCAGGACTCTGGAAGATTGACATGTGCCACCACCTGGCCTTCACTTGTGGCAGTTACTAACTTTCTATGATTTTCTTAATCAAAAATGATCTAGTAACCTGTAAAGAAAGGGTTAAAAAAATTCAGATATTCTAGTTCTCCTTTCTTTGTTTTAAAAATCACTGCTTCAATCCACAAAAAAAAAAAAAAAAAAAAAAAAAAAAAAGTTGGCATCAGGACCCCTGGCGCGCAGCGGCGGCGCAGCCTGTTCTCGCCCCTGTGCCTTGCAAGTGTCTTGTTAAGCCCTGGCCAGCAGCGCTGGGCCTGCGCATTCCGCGTGCTTAATGAGTGCTGGCTGCAGGGCATGAGCAGTGCAGAGGCGCCTGCCGAGGAACCTCCCGCCTGTGGGCAGACTAGCCAAAAGGGAGTAAGAATGTCAGTGCTGCTGGGAAGACACTCAAGCGGGCAGCCCCGAGGGATCCGTTTAAAGTGCGTTCGTATTGCACGATGATACTGAGCCTTAGTATCAAGAAGAACTAGCTTGTCTTTGCAGATAGAAACAAGTGTACTTAATTCTCATACGGAAAAACAAGGCAGGATTTTGTGAGATCAAAGAAGCAAGCAGGGGCTAATCTGTGTTGCTATGATTTAACAAATAGTTCATAGCACCTTTAATATACCTCCCTGAAAGAAATAGCTAATAAAACCACATGCCGTGCTTTAACTGCGGTATAAAGAAGAGGAATGTGCCTTGTAATAAAATACATTATTGCAGCATGCAAAGTACTTTATATAAATAATCTAAGCTCTGAAAAATAGCAGGCATTTTTAATAGTATTTACCTTATAACATTGTTGCAAGAACAAATTAGTTTATATTTACATACTTTTTAGAACAATGTGCGTGCATTAACCAGCTCAAACAAGCATAGCTAATAGGGGGTGGAAGTCAGATTCAAGCTGGGGTTTGCTAGCCCTGGCCTCTCGCTGCAGAGGAAGTGCACTGTTTCACCACTGCATATGATATTTTTACGGTGTTTTTATCCAGAAAATATAATCTTTTAAAATATTAAGCTTCTAAGCAGTGTGCATATTTTTTTAGTTGGGACATTCATTTTAGCGCATGATTCAACTTTTTTTTTTTTAAATTCAGTTTATTAGGTCTGATTCATTGTGTGTGTGTGTGTGTGTGTGTGTGTGTGTGGCCAGCTCAGCCCACCAGGGGGCGGGGCTGGCTGGCATGTGGTGCTGGGGGATTGAACCG